AGCCATTAGCAACCAATCTTAGAAATGAATCAAACTTTACGGGAATTAAAATGTATCAACATGAGCACAAACTTAGTCTCTTCGCAGACGATATTATTCTTATGATTACAAACCCCTATAAATCAATTCATTCGATACGTACACATATCCGTAGTTATGCGGATGTTTCGTATTACAAACTCAATGAACCCAAATCATCTATACTCAACCTGCATACACCTATTGATACTAAAACTCTAATTTCCAAACATTTCCCCTTTACTTGGGAATCACATAGCATACCCTATCTAGGGATCAAACTTACCGCAATCACTAGCCAACTTTACGCAACTAATTACATATCATTATTGGAAACCATCCCCCAAGAAATAAAAAATCTACGCACAACCACACTATCAACTTTAGGTAGAGTAGCAACCATGAAAATGTGTATATTACCTAAAATACTATATATTTTTCGGACGCTTCCTATACCAGTCCCTCATACCTTCTTCTCTAGAGTTCAAGCTACGCTAAATAAATTTTTATGGAATTATAAAAGACCCAGATGTTCCACAAACTTATTATTACGCCCACCCTCCAGAGGTGGGACAGGTCTCCCCCACCTAAAATCATATTACCAAGCAGTCCTCTTGGACCAACTTTTCTTTTGGTGGCACCCAACCGACGAGAAGATCTGGACCAAATTAGAAAACTCCTTATGCTCACCACACACGATAACAGACATACTGTACATACCCAGAACAGCCCTACCTAAAAATCTACAAACACACCCGTGTATCCAGGCTTCTTTAAATGCTTGGTTTGACTTTTCAGCCCACAATAAAGCAAACAAGAGTAATGTGAAAATTCCCACCCCCTTTTCATCTCTACACTTCCTCACTCCTCACTTAAACATATCAACATGGAGCAGCCTTGGTATAACCCATATCCAAGATCTCTACACAAAACACAAACTAGACTCATTCTCCGTCCTCCAAAAGAAATTTCATCTTCCCGACAAAGAACAATATACCTATATACGAATAACCCACTCTCTTCACAAAACACAAATACCACTTGAAATAGAAATTCCTGCAACTGCACGACAATTCTTCCAAAAGACACAATACCCTAAGAAAGGAATCTCGACTTTCTATTCACTCATAACCGAAATACAGTTCACTACACACAATTCTTCCTTACTCAACTGGGAAAAGAATCTCTCCCAACCAATCACTCTAAACACTTGGGAAAAAACATTCACTATCACCTTTAAAGCTTCTAAATGTAGCTCCCATTGGGAGACTTACCTGAAAATCCTGCACCAATGGTATCTGACACCAACTAAATTATCCCAATTTTACCCTCAACATTCACAACTCTGCTGGAGACACTGTGGAGAAAAGGGATCTCTCCTTCACATACTTTGGGACTGTAAATCCCTTAAATCTTATTGGAACAAGGTTTTCCAGATCATCTCATCACTCACAGGAACTTCAATTACTCCAAATCCCGCCCTAGCTCTTCTCCACGTCGGAATAGACATATTCCCTGCAAGTGTACGCACTATTATCATCCACATTCTAGCAGTTGCAAAAATTAACGTCACCAAACTATGGAGATCCACCACAACCCCTTTATTATCCCGCCTCATTTCCGATCTCAATCTCCAATGCGAGATGGAAAGAAGAACCGCACTTTATAATTCCTCCTACCATAAATTTAAAACCCATTGGTCACGATGGTTAAATAATCCCAGTTGCTCAATAAAATGACTACTATTCGAAAGGAATACAATACTCTCTGCCCATACTGAATTGGTGCTTACCCTCCCTTCCTCCCACTTCCTTCCCTGTTCCTCCACTACCCTCATGTTCTCCCCACTCTTATGCCCCACTAGTTTCTTAGAATGGTTCACAACATACGGAGCATACCTCTCATGTAACTGAATTACAGAAATACAAGTTCCCCGGCCACTTGGTGGGGAATCTTCACTTTCCGTTTGTCAATATTTTTCATATAATGTTATTCTCGACGTGAACCAAAATGTTCGACTATCTAATATTACTTATGTATGTTTAAACTTTAATAAAAACTATTTGAATATAAAAAGCTCTCGCTGGACACCACCAACCTGAACAACTTAAGACCCATCTCCCTGCTGCCATTTACCTCTAAAACTCCTAGAACGCTTAGTCTACAATCGCCTGAGCTCCTCCCTCACTGACAACAACCTTCTTGACCCTTTACAGTCTGGCTTTCGCTCACTACACTCCACTGACACTGCCCTACTAAAACTCACTAATGATCTACTAACTGCTAAAACCAATGGCCACTACTCCGTACTCATCCCAACCAATGGCCACTACTCCGTACTCATCCCAACCAATGGCACTACTCCGTACTCATCCCAACCAATGGCTACTACTCCGTACTCATCCCAACCAATGGCCTACTACTCCGTACTCATCCCAACCAATGGTCACTACTCCGTACTCATCCCAACCAATGGCCACTACTCCGTACTCATCCCAACCAATGGCCACTACTCCGTACTCATCCCAACCAATGGCCACTACTCCGTACTCATCCCAACCAATGGCCACTGCTCCGTACTCATCCCAACCAATGGCCACTGCTCCGTACTCATCCCAACCAATGGCCACTGCTCCGTACTCATCCCAACCAATGGCCACTGCTCCGTACTCATCCCAACCAATGGCCACTGCAACCAATGGCCACTGCTCCGTACTCATCCCAACCAATGGCCACTGCTCCGTACTCATCCCAACCAATGGCCACTGCTCCGTACTCATCCCAACCAATGGCCACTACTCCATACTCATCCCAACCAATGGCCACTACTCCATACTCATCCCAACCAATGGCCACTACTCAGTACTCTTACTGCTTGACCTCTCTGCAGCTTTTGATACAGTTGACCATCCCCTCCTCCTCAAAAACCTCAACTCTTTTGGCCTCCAAGACTCTGCTCTGTTCTGGTTCTCCTCCTACCTATCGCAGCGCTCCATCAGAGTTACCTATAACTCTGCCTCCTCCTCTCCTCTCCCTATTTCTGTAGGGGTTCCTCAAGGTTCTGTCCTTGGACCCCTACTCTTCTCCATCTACACCTCCTCCCTTGGTCACTTGATAAACTCCCATGGCTTTAAGTACCACCTCTATGCTAATGACACACAAAACTATCTTTCTACCCCTCATCTCTTCAGTCTCCTCTCACATTACTAACCTACTAAGTGACATATCGGTATGGATGTCACTCCACCTCCTCAAACTCAATCTTTCCAAAACTGAGCTCTTAGTATTCCATCCAGCCTGTGCCCCCTCCCCCGACTTCTCCATCAAGATCAATAACAAAATCATGAGTCCCTCCCCTCATGCCAGGGTACTAGGTGTAATCCTAGACTCCCATCTGTCTTTTCAGTCCCAAATCCACTGTCCAAATCTTGCAGACTTCACCTCCACAACAGTTCCAAGATATGGCCGTTCCTAACCTCGGAAACCACTAAGCAACTTATTCACTCCCTTGTTATATTTTGCCTTGACTATTGTAACTCCCTCCTCATTGGCAGACCACATTGCAGGCTATCCCCTCTTCAGTCTATCATGAATGCTGCTGCCAGACTCATCCACCTTACTAACCATTCTGTATCAGCCACCCCTCGCTGCCAATCCCTCCACTGGCCTTCACTCAGTGTCCTCCACCCCTCTGTCAATCCCCCACTGGCCTCCATTCAGTGTCCTCCACCCCTCTCTGCCAATCCCTCCACTGGCTTCCCATTGCCCAACAGATAAAATTCAAAACATTAACAATAACATATAAAGTCATTTATAACTCCGCCTCAAATTACATCATCCCAATATTGTCTCCAAATATCACCCAAACCGTACTCTCCACTCCTCGCATGACCTCCTGCTCTCTAGCTCCCTTGTCTCCTCCCATGCTCATCTCCAGGACTTCTCCAGAGCTTCCCCCATCCTCTGGAACGCTCTACCCCAATTTATCAGACTATCGCCTACTCTGCTCACTTTTAGGTGATCTCTGAAAACCTATCTCTTTAGGGAAGCCTATTCTGCCCTCAGCTAATAATGGAATCTTCTACTCTTCCAACCAGTCCATCCCCCACAGTTACTACCTTTTGTACCACTAGCCCCTCCCTCCTAGATTGTAAGCTCCAGGAGCAGGGCCCTCCTATCCCCTCTTGTATTTAACTTTATTGTTGCTGTATTGTCTCCCGTTATATTGTAAAGCACTGAGCAAACTGTTGGCGCCATAAAATCCTGTATAATAATAATAATATTAATAGAGATGAAAAATGTGGAAAGAAGTCATTGATAATGGGAGAGGAGATGGAACATGTAATGGGAGGAATGGACAAGGTGGGCTTAGCTGGAGACCTCAAGGCTGGCTGATCATGTATCAATAGTCAGAAGAACCTGGAATGGACTCTCCCACTGAGGCTTCAGAGACTTGGTAAGATGACAATAGACCCCATCCTAGTCTCTGGTACTGAGGCAGTGTTGGTCGTGTATTACCTCAGGATCCAGAAATGAAGAAAATGCTTGGAAACACAACTCAGTTGGTGAATTATGAAAATGCATTGCATGTTCATTCAAAGCTCCATAAAAAAGATAAAGATGAGAATCATGAGGGAAGCTGTTCAGTTATTGATGCTTATCTTAAAAAAAATGTCAAAAGATAAAATATTCAAATCCCTTCTAGTTGTGTATTGATGGACATAAGCACTAAACTCAGTTCATCCAATCATTACATTCCAGTTTGCTCAGATTTTAGTTTGTTTCTTTTAAGGTAACATTTTATCTTCTCCCTTCTTCTCTAGCTTGTGGGATGACATTGGGGATGTGGAACTAGCTTGTGACACCTGAAAGTTCTTTAATATCTCTTTTCTTCCAGAATTTAATCTATGCTGAAATTTGTGAATCCTCCGGTGATAGATTAGACCGGCATTAACTGAAAAAGGTTTGTCACATTGAGAGCATTAAAATGACTTCTCTCCAGTGTGAATCCTCTGGTGTCTGATAAGATGTGACTTCTGTATAAAAGCTTTATCACATTCAGAACACTGATATGACTTCTCTCCAGTGTGAACCCTCTGGTGTGCGATAAGATTTGACTTCTGTGTAAAAGCTTTATCACATTCAGAACACTGATATGGCTTCTCTCCAGTGTGAACAATCTGGTGTGTGATAAGATGTGAATTCTGAGTAAAAGCTTTATCACATTCAGAACACTGATATGACTTCTCTCCAGTGTGAATCATCTGGTGTGTGATAAGATTTGACTTCTGTGTAAAAGCTTTATCACATTCAGAACACTGATATGACTTCTCTCCAGTGTGAATCCTCTGGTGTGTGATAAGATTTGACTTCTGTGTAAAAGCTTTATCACATTCAGAACACTGATATGACTTCTCTCCAGTGTGAATCCTCTGGTGTGTGATAAGATTTGACTTCTGTGTAAAAGCTTTATCACATTCAGAACACTGATATGGACTTCTCTCTCAGTGTGAATCCTCTGGTGTGTGATAAGATCTGACTTCTCTGTAAAAGCTTTATCACATTCAGAACACTGATATGACTTCTCTCCAGTGTGAATCCTCTGGTGTCTGATAAGATTTGACTTCTGTAAAAGCTTTATCACATTCAGAACACTGATATGACTTCTCTCCAGTGTGAATCCTCTGGTGTGTGATAAGATCTGACTTCACTGTAAAAGCTTTATCACATTCAGAACACTGATATGACTTCTCTCCAGTGTGAATCCTCTGGTGTCTGATAAGATCTGACTTCCGTGTAAAAGCTTTATCACATTCAGAACACTGATATGACTTCTCTCCAGTGTGAATCCTCTGGTGTGTGATAAGATTTGACTTCTGTGTAAAAGCTTTATCACATTCAGAACACTGATATGACTTCTCTCCAGTGTGAATCCTCTGGTGTCTGATAAGATCTGACTTCTGTAAAAGCTTTATCACATTCAGAACACTGATATGACTTCTCTCCAGTGTGAATCCTCTGGTGTCTGATAAAATATGACTTCTGTAAAAGCTTTATCACATTCAGAACACTGATATATCTCTCCAGTGTGAATCCTCTGGTGTGTGATAAGATCTGACTTCCGTGTAAAAGATTTATCACATTCAGAACACTGATATATCTCTCCAGTGTGAACACTCTGGTGTGTGATAAGACTTGACTTCACTGTAAAAGCTTTATCACATTCAGAACACTGATATATCTCTCCAGTGTGAATCCTCTGGTGTTTGATAAGACTTGACTTCACTGTAAAAGCTTTATCACATTCAGAACACTGATATGACTTCTCTCCAGTGTGAATCCTCTGGTGTGTGATAAGATTTGACTTCTGTGTAAAAGCTTTATCACATTCAGAACACTGATTTGGCTTCTCTCCAGTGTGAATCCTCTGGTGTCTGATAAGATTTGACTTCAATGTAAAAAAGCTTTATCACATTCAGAACACTGATATGGCTTCTCTCCAGTGTGAACAATCTGGTGTTTGAGAAGATTTGACTTCTGAGTAAAAGCTTTATCACATTCAGAACACTGATATGACTTCTCTCCAGTGTGAATCCTCTGGTGTGTGATAAGACTTGACTTCTGTGTAAAAGCTTTATCACATTCAGAACACTGATATGGCTTCTCTCCAGTGTGAACAATCTGGTGTGTGATAAGATGTGACTTCCGTGTAAAAGCTTTATCACATTCAGAACACTGATATGACTTCTCTCCAGTGTGAATCCTCTGGTGTCTGATAAGATGTGACTTCTGTGTAAAAGCTTTATCACATTCAGAACACTGATATGGCTTCTCTCCAGTATTAACTCTTTGGTGTACTGTAAGCTCGCTCTTGTGTGTAAAAGGTTTGTCACATTCAGAACAATTGATATGACTTCCCTCCATTGTGAACCTTCTGGTGTGTGATATATTTTTCTCTCCATTGTAAAATCTCCAAACAAGAAGTAGTTTGAAATGACTCCTCTTATGTATACTTGGGTTGGACTTTATTGTAAAGCATTGTCACTTCCAGAACACTGAAATTCTTTTCTCCTGCTGGATCAATGTGGAAGAGGATCCAAACCATGACTTTTAGAACACAGATATGACTTGTATCCCGTGTGAATCCTCCAGTGAACTGCAATAAAGACTTTCAGTCAATTAAGACACCCATATGTCTTGTTTTCCATGTGACTCAGCTGTATTCATGAAGATCAACATGACCGAAAACTTGGTTCATAAATCTACCTGTACAGAATGAAAAAAAGGTAGAATTCTATATAAATGGCTACATAAAGTTGCTTTCTATTTTTAATGTTCATTACTAAATATAATCTTATGAATAGAAAGAATATGTACAGCATTATCTACAGTATTTTTTTAATCAAATAGATTTTATTAAGAAAGTTTATAAGTGCGCACAGTATTCCCAACATTCAGCCCAGACAATGGAGTCATACATTCTCACGTATAGGCAGTTGTGGCACTGTTACAGATTAGAGATGAGCGAATTATTCAAAAATTTGATTCGGCTGATTCGCCGAATTTGAGGAAGAAATTCGATTCGATGCAAATTTATTCGCTACAAATTTAACTTATAAAAAGGGTTTCTAGGCTTCAGAGAGCCTTTAAATTAGTGCAGAACACTGTACCTTTAATTTAAATGCCCTTGGAGATGAGAAGGAGAAGGAGAAGGATGAGAAGAAGGAGAAGGATGAGAAGAAGGAGAAGGATGAGAAGAAGGAGAAGGATGAGAAGAAGAAGAAGGAGAAGGATGAGAAGAAGAGAAGGATGAGAAGAAGAAGAAGATGAGAAGAAGATGAGAAAAGAAGAAGATGAGAAGAAGAGAAGGATGAGAAGAAGAAGAAAGGATGAGAAGAAGAAGAAGGATGAGAAGAAGAAGAAGATGAGAAGAAGAAGAAGAAGATGGATGAGAAGAAGAAGATGGATGAGAAGAAGAAGATGGATGAGAAGAAGAAAGAAGGATGAGAAGAAGAAGAAGGATGAGAAGAAGAAAGAAGGATGAAAGAAGAAGAAGGATGAGAAGAAGGAGAAAGGATGAGATGAAGAAGAAGAAGGATGAGAAGAAGGAGAGAAGGATGAAAGAAGAAGAGAAGAGAAGAAGAAGAAGAATGAGAAGAAGAGAAGGATGAGAAGAAGGAGAAGAAGGATGAAGGATGATAAGAAGGAGAAGGATGAGAAGAAGGAGAAGGATGAGAATGAAGAAGAAGAAGAAGGATGAGAAGAAAGGAGAGAAGATGAGAAGAAGGAGAAGATGATGAGAGAAGAAGAAGGAAGATTTAAGAAGGATGAGAAGAAGGAGAATTCCAAGCCGGCAAAAAGTGTATCTGCAGAGCTCCGCTCTTTCTTAGCGGAGCTCTGCAGATACACTTAGTGGAGCTCTGCAGATACACTATTTGCCGGCTTGGAATTCTTCTTATTTTCATCCTACTTCTTCTTCTTTCTTCTCTCATCATCATCCTCTCCTCTTCTTCTTCTGAGGATGAGGATGAGGATGAAGAAGAAGAAGAAGAAGAGGATGAAAAATAAGAAGAATTCCAAACCGGCAAAAAGTGTATCTGCAGAGCTCCGCTAAGTGTATCTGCAGAGCTCCTCTATTTCTGACAGTTCTCTGACATTCACATTTTACAGCGGTTGAAACATTGTATCTATTTGTTTCCATAAATGGAAACAAATAGATACAATGTTTCAACCGCTGAGCTCTGCAGATACACTTTTTGCCGCTTGGAATTCTTCTTATTTTCATCCTACTTCTTCTTCTTCTTCTTCTTCATCCTCATCCTCATCCTCCTCATCCTCAGAAGAAGAAGAAGAAGAAAAAGAAGAAGAAGAAGAATAAAAGAAGAAAAAAAGAAGAAGAATGAAAAGAAGAAGAAAAAAAGAAAAAGAAGAAAAAAGAAGAAGAGAAAAGATTTTCTTCTTTTCATTCTTCTTTTCATTCTTCTTCTTCATTCTTCTTCTTCTTCTTTTCTTCTTCTTCTTTTTTCTTCTTCTTCTTCTTCATTCTTCTTCTTCTTTCTTCTTCTTCTTCTCATTCTTCTTTTCATTCTTTTTTCATTCTTCTTTTCATTCTTCTTTTAGGCATTCTTCTTTCATTCTTCTTTTCATTCTTCTTTTGCTTTGTCATTCTTCTTTTCTTCTTTCTTCTTCTTCTTTCTTTTCTTCTTCTTTTCATTCTTCTCATTCTTCTTCTTCTTCATTCTTCTTCTCATTCTTCTTCTCATTCTCATTCTTCTTCATTTCTTCTTTTCATTCTTCTTTTCATTCTTCTTTTCATTCTTCTTCATTCTTCTTTTCATTCTTCTTCTCCTTTTCATTCTTCTTTTCATTCTTCTTTTCAATGAAGAAGAAAAAGAAGAATGAAAAGAAGAATGAAAAAAAAGAATGAAAGAAGAATGAAAAGAAGAAAAGAAAAGAAGAATGAAAAGAAGAAGAAGAAGAAGAAGAATGAAAAGAAGAAGAAGAAAAGAAGAATTGAAGAAGAAGAAAAGAAGAATGAAAAGAAGAATGAAAATTTTGCTGTTCTGTGAAGAAAAAAAGAAGAAGAATGAAAAGAAGAAGAAGAAGAATGAAAAGAAGAAGAAGAAAAGAAAGAATGAAAAGAAGAATGAGAAGAATGAAAAGATTCTTCTTTTCATTCTTCTTCTTCTTCTTTTCTTTCTTTTCTTCTTCTTTTCATTCTTTTCATTCTTCTCATTCATTCTTCTCTATTCTTCTTTTCATGAAGAAGAAAATGAAGAAGAAAAGAAGAATGAAAAGAAGAATGAAAAGAAATGAATGAGAAGAAGAATGAAAAGAAGAATGAGAAGAATGAAAAGAAGAATGAGAAGAAGAATGAGAAGAATGAAAAGAAGAAGAATGAAAAGAAGAATGAAAAGAAGAAGAAGAAGAATGAAAAAAGAAGAAAAGAAGAAGAATGAAAAGAAGAATGAAGAAGAATGAAAAAGAAGAAGAAAAGAATGAAAAGAAAAGAAAGAATGAAAAAAGAAGAAGAATGAAAAGAAGAAGAAAAGAAGAATGAATGAAGAAGAAGAAGAAGAATGAAAAGAAGAATGAAAAAGAAGAAGAATGAAAAAAGAAGAATGAAAAGAAGAAGAATGAAAAGAAGAATAAGAATGAAAAGAATTCTTCTTCTTTTGATTCTTCTTTTCATTCTTCTTCTTCTTTTCATTCTTCTTCTTCTTTTCATTCTTCTCATTCTTCTTTTCATTCTTCTCATTCTTCTTTTCATTCTTCTCATTCTTCTTTCATTCTTCTTTTCATTCTTCTCATTCTTCTTCTCATTCTTCTTTTCATTTTCTTCTTTGCATTCTTCTTCTCTTCTTCTTCTTTCTTTTCTTCTTCTCATTCTTCTTTTCATTCTTCTTCTCTCATTCTTCTTTTCATGAAGAAGAAAAGAAGAATGAGAAGAATGAAAAGAAGAATGAGAAGAAGAAGAATGAAAAGAAGAATGAGAAGAAGAATGAAAAGAAGAATGAAAAGAAGAAGTATTCCAGTACAGCAAAAAGTGTATCTGCAGAGAGCTCCGCTATTTCTGACAGTTCTCTGACAGTTCCTTCACATGTACAGCGGTTGAAACATTGTATCAATTTATTTCCGATAAAAAAACATCTGTATCCTAAATGGAAACAAATAGATACAATGTTTCAACCGCTGTACATGTGAAGGAACTGTCAGAGAACTGTCAGAAATAGCGGAGCTCTCTGCAGGGACACTTTTGCCGGCTGATCGGGAAAAATCAGATTTGCGCACACCCGAAGTATGCAAATATTCAGATTCGACGCAAATCGAATTTTTCCTGAAATTCGAAACAAATTCCACTTCGCCTGGTTCGATTCGCTCATCTCTATTACAGATCATACAGAACAATAACTTGCTTTGTCTATGGTGTCACTTTTACCTTTTATAAACAAATGAACAGAGAAAAGAAGAAACAACCTAGAACAATTCAGCTGTACACGGCAAGTAACTCCCCCCAGTACATACATAGATAGCTGACACCGATCAATGAGGCCCGTGTCTCCAGGATCATACCCCAAGTATGGGTCCCCCATGTAGTCACCATTCAGTAGGATACAACTGGCCGTTCTCCTTCTATGGGGCTAAAAGAGATAAGATTTTAAAAGCCTATGAAGAACTAACTACTAGGAGTGAAACAAGGAGTATCCAGCCAGTTCTGCCCGACATACATCTCCTGGGGGAATTACAATGTTGGTAAAGTTTGTTTTTTCACATGTTAATGTGGAGTTCACCTGCTCAATCCACTGTTGTCTGCTGGGAGTTTGAGATATAGCCAAGATCGGGATATTTTTTTTTGGTCAAGCAGCCTCACTATTGCTATATGACTTGTAATAGGAGGAGGTGTAAATAATTCCTCCTCTATTGAGACCAAGAGGCACACCCGAGGAATATTGAACACCAACATTACAATACTGGTCATATCGTTCCACTTTTTGAATAATTTTGGACATCTCCAAAACACGTATCAAATCCCCGACATCACCACAATTGGGGTCATAAGGGGAAATCCCTCCTGTCCTAGCTGAACAATTGAGCTGGAGTCCTGAAAGATCTATGCAAAAGAAATGACTGAGTTTCTGTGAAGAGGACAGAGAGATGAGAGGTATGGAGGTCACAATCACCTCCCACCACTCTCTCTTATTTTCTCTGTTTCCCATTTCTTTCTATAAGTCTTCGGTAAGAGTCAAAAGACTGGGATAAATATATGAGAGATCATGCCTTTCCCACTGGTGCATCTGAAGCCCATTAACAAGTGTGAGAGTGATGTGAAATCTGTATCTGATGGAAGTAGCAATCGATGGATGGGATCTAATGTGTCTACTAAGTCCCACCTGGTAAGATGTTGAAGTTGGGCAGCTATAATA